CACACGCAGCCACGGACGCCCTGCCCTGAGCACACACGCAGCCACGGACGCCCTGCCCTGAGCGCACACGCAGCCATGGACGTCCTGCCCTGAGCGCACACGCAGCCACGGACGTCCTGCCCTGAGCGCACACGCAGCCACGGACGTCCTGCCCCTGAGCGCACACGCAGCCACGGACGCCCTGCCCTGAGCACACACACAGCCATGGACGCCCTGCCCCTGAGCACACACGCAGCCACGGACGCCCTGCCCTGAGCACACACGCAGCCACAGACGCCCTGCCCTGAGCACACATGCAGCCACAGACGCTCTGCTCCTGAGAACATGTGGGGACATCCGACCCCCAGGACACGGCTGCCGAGGCTGGAGCTATTTTTGGACCAGCCCCCGGGACAGGGACTTCCTCTGCTCTTGCTTGCGCTGCTGTCTGCTCTGTGTTGTCTTACGTCCTCCAAACAATGACGCTGCCACGCCTTCATGCAAACACCCTCCAGCAGGCCGCTGCACGTGTTGGAAAGCCAGCGCAGACGGGGAGGAGGAGGCAGAGCACCCTGCAGCCACTGCTTCATCACACTGGCCTGGCCTGGGCCCATTCGGGACATGAACCTCACGGGCCAGGCCCTGGCGGCGGCCTGGGGTGTGCGGAGGATCATGGCAGCGGCCGGCCGGGCTTGTCGCCTGCGCCCAGCTCCCCAGGCTGCCGAGGCTGCAGTGCTACCTGACGCATTAGCACCCACCAGCCGGCCACTGGGTCCACAGAGCCGGGTGTGCACCGCAGGAGGAGGCTGTGCAGGCTCTGCCCTCCACACCAGGTGCACACCTGTGTGCACGCCACGTGGACACGTGGGAGGATGTGCAAGGAACCCAGGGCCTGTCCAGATGTCCAGCTGTGGACTGAGGCCGTGGTCTCAGAGTGGTGCCTCCCGCTGTCCCCATGGACAGCCGGCTGCCTGGCCGTGGAGACAGCGCTCTGAGTGTCCACCTGCCCCAGAGAAAGCGCTCCAAACCCAGGCTGACTCCAGCCTTGATTTCAGGCATCAGGTACCCACCAGGAGTTCACTTTCTGCTTGGGCAGGCTCCCAGAACAGGAGATGCATTTCTTCAGTCTCAGTTTTGGTCTCAAACTTTCACGGGGCACTTCTAACCTCCCAACGCTTCTGTGTGATCCCCCCCCCTCCCTCTATCCCGTCCTCCTGAGAAATGTCAAACTCTCTACTGTCCGGGAGCTTCAGCGAGCTTTCCCCGCCACCACGCCGTGTCTCCCACGGATGCCGCACACATACAGGACGCGGAGCGTGGCCCAGAGCTCACATCGGATCAGGAGGATCAAAGTCCAAAACACAAATAGAAGTTTACCTAAAACCAGTCTGCAAGGAGTGGCCAATAGCTGTGCCACAAATGAAAAGACACCAGGCAGACTGCTCTAAACCCTCTCTTGCAAGAGGTCTGGGAGCAGCGGGAGACCTCGGTGAAGAACCTGGACTCCCAGCACTGGTCCCAAGAGAAAAGCCCGAGGGCCCATAAAATAGTGACAAATGCATTTTTAAATCCAGAGTGCCATGGGAGCTTGTGCTGTGGCACTTTAAGAATTTAGCTTCCTCAGCCAAAGAATATTCATGGGAACAAATGTCACCTGCCAGCCAGGGCAGGGAAGCCTAGCACATTCCACAGCCCAAACACAGCCGGGTCAGATGACCCCGGCTCAGCACTTCAGCATGAACAGCTGAGCGGAACTATAACTTGTGGGGCGCGTGCACACACACGCGCGTGCATGCGTGCACACCGGCCTGCAGAACCCAGGGAAGGCACCCCCCCCACAGCCGTCCCCCAGGCTGCCAGGGTGAGCCCCGGGAAAGAGCCGCGCACGCCTGAGTCCAGCCCAAGGGAAGAGGGGGAGTGCGTAGGAGGAGGCAGAGAGGCAGAAGTGAGGAGGCTGGGAGAAAAGCCAGAGCAAGGCTGGCGTCAGCGAGGGCCCCCACAGCGAAGCAAGCCCCAGGACTTCCCCCTCCAGCCCATCCCACAGCCCTCCCTCCAGCCTGGTCGTCTGGGCATGAGTCTGTCTGTGTCTGTCTGGGTGTGAGTCTGTCTGTGTCCGTGTGGGTATGATTCTGTCCGTGTATGTGTGGGTGTGAGTCTGTCCATGTCTGTCTGGGTGTGAGTCTCTCCTTGTCTGTCTAGGTGTGAGTCTGTCCGTGTCTGTCTGGGTGTGAGTCTATCTGTCTGTCTGGGTGTGAGTCTGTCCGTGTCTGTCTGGGTGTGAGTCTATCTGTCTCTGTCTAGGTGTGAGTCTGTCCGTGTCTGTCTGGGTGTGAGTCTATCTGTCTGTCTGGGTGTGAGTCTGTCCGTGTCTGTCTGGGTGTGAGTCTATCTGTCTGTCTGGGTGTGAGTCTGTCCGTGTCTGTCTGGGTGTGAGTCTGTCTGTCTGTCTGGGTGTGAGTCTGTCTGTGTCTGTCTGGGTATGTGCCTGTGTCTGTGTCTTTGTGGGGGGGGGGTGTCTCTCTGGGTATGATTCTGTCTGTGTCTGTGTAGGTATGAGTCTGTCCGTGTCTGTGTGGGTATCCGCAGGTCTGTTGGCATCTGTGTGGTTTATGTCTATGTGCCAGTGCCTCTGAGAATTACAGGAGCTGTCCTAGCCCAGGACGGCCTTGAACACTCCCTCTTCCTGTCAGTCTCTAGTGTTCAGGCTGCAAGTGTCCCACACTAGCTCTGCCTTCTGTTGGTTTGCGGTCCCCGGCCAGCGCCTGTCTCTTACCTGTTGATCTCCAGTGTGTGCACCCCGTAGTTGCTCTCGATCCTGTACTTGCCTGGCTCTCCTGCCTGGCAGATCAAACTTCCATCTTTGTACCTGGTCAAAGCAAACACGCCCTCTCACTGAAAGGCAGATCTGTGTTTGCAGCTCTGTCACAGCCCCGTTTCTGCTCACAAGCCTTGGCTCCTCTCCTTCTTCCCAGAGCCACGGGGGCGCAGAGCCTGCAAGAGACGCTGCCTGCGGTTCTTGAAGAAGACACCACATTTGCACCGTCGAAGCCATCTTGAAGCCCTCCAGACACCTGCTCGAGCTTTTAGGAAATTCAGAAGTCATGTCACTCTGTCGATGCGAGGCTGTGCTGGCTAGCTCCGAGGCTGGAGCATCAGGGGCTGTGGAAGCCAACACACTGGAGCACCACGGCCCCTACGCACTGAGCCTGGCCGGCAAGGCTCCAGCCTCCGCCCGTGGAGACGTGCCCAGCACCCACAGCTCTGCCCGTGGGGCCGCACTCAGCACCCACAGCTCTGCCCGTGGAGACGTGCCCAGCACCCACAGCTCTGCCCGCGCGGCCACACTCAGCACCCCAGCCTGCCTTGAGGGTGAGCAAGCCTCAGCCCTCACGTGGCCCTGACAGCACCGATGGACAGACACACGGGTCTCAAAGGGTGGCTGATTTCTGTAACAGGTGTTGAAACAAGGAGGCGCTGATTTAAGATGGGCTTGACGGTTTAATTCTGTAATTATCACATGCAATTATCACCATGAGTTCTCGCATAACGAAATCAGACTTGTGAGCCTCACAGGGAATCGGCAGCACTGCCACGCATGGACCCGCGCCACGCCTCGAACAGACATCACCTCAAAGAGCTGACGTTTAAACAAAATGCAAAATGTTCTGCAAAACCCAGTGAAGCAATGCCCTAACATGAAGACGGCAGGGTACTGCCAGGAACGAGACTTCCCGAGTCGTCTGCAGACATTTCCCCGTGAAGTTCGGAGCCCAGCGACCCTCAGGACGCCCCCCACCCCAC